GGGGCCGGGGGCAGGGCCGCCCCGCGCAGACCCTGCCCGCAGCTCGCCCCCGCGCAACGGCCCCGTCTGCCTCAAATAAGTACTAACTAATTGAAAATATCGGTTAGTGAGTAACTGAAAATATCGGTGCTCCTCATGCTTTAGTTTCGGAGCTCCTCAGGATCGCATTCCTGAGGCAGAATCCCGCTCCTAGCATCTCCACCTGCAGCACCAGGAATGGCCAGGATGCGAGGGGAGCCACCACAGCACCTCCCGGCACAACGTCCCAGAGAGCTCAGGCTCACCCTGCTCCTCAACAACAGGCTACAGCCACGTCTGCGTGCGCGCAGCCAGTGCACATGGAGGTCCCTGCAACTTTGCACGTTTTCGTTTCTGTGCTCGGTTTTATTGCTGGAGCACGTTGCAGACTGAAGGGGATTTTGTGCTCAGGCACAGCCTTCTTTAAGGGATTTTTGCAAAGTATATTGTTTATCTGCCGTCTGGATAGGGCTGTTTGACCTTCTAATCATCATTCTCAATAATAAAAGGAATTTAGCTCTCCTTGCCTTTTCGTTGTTGCGTATTCTCTGAAGTTCATACTCCAGTTTAATTTACTCCAGTCTAATATTTTGAATAGGAACCATAAAGTGGTATCTTCAGAAACTTCCATAGAGTCAATGGCATTATGTATGGAAGTTTATTCCAGAAACCTAAGCCTAATTCTTAACACAGGATCTGCAAGAAAATCTCAGCTTCACTGTTAAATAATTGTCCTGCTTAATTTATTTAACTCTAAACACAGAAACTGCAGAGTAGCTGCCAACACTATGGATTTTGCTTTAGAGAAGTGCACAAGACTTATTCAAATTCCAAGTAACAGAGAGGGGAAGGAGGAAGGAATCCCGGCTGCTTAATCCATGGTTCATATTTTGCTCCTACTGTGCACCAGGAACACTCACCATTTCCATGGAATTGGGGGGATGGCATAGAGATCAGAATGCAAGTGAAACTAAGAGAAGTAAGTCTCAAAACAATGAAAGCCAAGCGCTTTCTTGCTTTTCATGGGCTAGCTGTAGACTGTGTCCCTCCACAATTATTTGGACACTTACAGGTTTGACCCTGCAACATTTTCATAGGAAAACAGAAGAAATGTGTGCAATTCCTTTTCAAATGGAGCACGGTTCCAGAGGAAGTCACACTTTCCCAGGAACACGGGCTTGAGCGCACTTTGTCAAGTTGAGGCATATACTCGTTGTCAACACACCTATCTACGGTTCACGTCCACTAAAAAGGAATTCCACTCAAGCACCCAAGAGGAATAAACTCACGAGTAGCTTCAGAAGGGGGCAGGGAAGATGCAGACTGCCCTTTTTCCATCCTTGCCTTGGCTTCTGTGACAGCATGCAGATGAACTGCACCCTAGGGCACTGCAGGTGCAGATGAGCCCACCCTAGGGTGGGTTCAGCTCTAGTCACCTCCCGAGCATTCCTGAATCAGGGAAGGGCCCCACACTGGCACGCTCGCTCGCCGAGACAGCCCGTTGGGGTTGAGCATGAGCATTCACTGTTGTTGCTGTCATGGTCCTTCTGATCCTAATGATCTGGAGCCCAGTAACCTCAGATCCCTCTGGTGGGTTTTGATCACGACGTGAATTTTACTCAGAGCTGTGCAAATCCAAGGGGGAGGGAAAAGTCTTGCCCTTGCTCTCCTCTTCATGAGCAGAAGACCTTCATGAGGATAGTCACCGCATTTTTCTCTTTTATTTTCATTTCTCTCTCTCTCTCTCCTTATTTTTTATTTATGTATTTTTTTAAGGCAGTGTGGCATTTTTCTATCTTGTCCAGGAAGGATAAAACCACTCAACTTACTTAATATTTTAACAGTCAGTGCCACAGAAGGTCTGCTGGAGTGTCAAAATGCAATGTTAAAGACCTAGTTAATAGATGTATATATATATATATATATACATAAACAAAAGATTCATACAGTCTTATCAGAGGTGCTGGTCCCCAAATCCTCATTACTGACCACTGGTTTTACGCTCCCTCAAAACTGCGGGTTCTTTTTTCTCCAGAAGAAGTACCAAATCCCCCCAAAACGGGGCGCAGAATGGGGCGCCGCCGCCCGGTCCCGCGCTGTGCTCCGGGCGCCGCGGCGGGCGGGGAGGCTGGGCCGGGCCGGGCCGGGCCGC